GTGCGCGACGCCCCGGCCGGCTGCTCCACTCGCTGCGGCGCCACCGCCCTGGCTCCCCAGGGCATCGGTGCCCAGTCGGGCCGGAGCTCGGTGCCTCGCGCCGCGAGCGAAGGGCCGGTCTGGGTCTCGCTCCGCGGTCTCCGCTGCCTCCCCTCAGCGCCGGGCGGCGGACTATACCCCCGCTTTGCCCCAGCACGGCCCCGCCTGAGCCGGCCCCGCCCCACTCGGCTCTCACTGGTGCGTCGGGATCCTTGGCCCCGCCCCTCCTCTATTGCAGCATTGCGTTGAGGGCCACGCCTACCTCTTTCTCCATTGGGCAACGGAGTTTCCTAGCCTCGCCCTCCTCTTCTTCTATTGGTACATTGAAACCGTCAGTCCCGCCCTTCTCTGTTTCTATTGGAGGTAGGGGATTCTGAGTCCCGCCTCCTCTTGTTCCCATGGGGGCACAGCGGCTCAGTTGCTAGGGTAATTCTTCCGCAATCTTGGTGGTGTTGCCCGTCATCACGGCTTTCACCGCCCACTCTAGGAGCTGGGGGGCAGGGCAGTGACGCTGTTTCATTATGCGGGGAACTTTGGGCACTGGAGCTGGGGCCAAGAGTTCGAATCCAGGTCCTGCCCCTGCCATCCCAGCCTGGTACTAGACCAGGGATTACAGGGGGCAGAGCCCACTCCCAGCAAGGCTGGTTGTGCTGAAGGGTTTCAGCTTGTAGCCATCAGTTTCACCAGGGTCTGCTCCTACATCTCCCAGGGCTGGGCAGGGAGCCCTGTCTGTGCCTCCCAACAGTGTGTCTGTTGAGAGGCCTGGGCAGCCAGTGGCCCTGTTATTTTACTAGGTTCACTGTGGGAGGCGCTCCAGAGACCTAAATGTTAATCTTGACTGTGTAAACTAGTCTGCTCACATCAGAACTAAAAGAGAACCCAGGACTGTCCTTGCTCATGTAACAGACACACCTAGGCTGTGTCTACACTGGGCCACTTATTCCAGAAAATCAGCCACTTTTCCGGAATAAGCTGCGAGCTGTCTACACTGGCCCCTCGAATTTCTGGAAAAGCAGTGACGATTTACTATATGAAATCAGCTGCTTTTCCGGAAAAACTATGCTGCTCCTGCTCGGGCATAAGTCCTTATTCCGGAACACTGTTCCGGAAAAGGGCCAGTGTAGACAGCCCAGGAGTCTTTTCCGGAAAAGCGCGTCTACATTGGCCACAGACGCTTTTCCGGAAAAAGGGCTTTTCCAGAAAAGCAGCCTGCCATGTAGACGCTCTTTTTCCAGAAATATTTATAATGAAAACTATTCTGTTTTAAGCATTTCCAGAAATTTATGCCAGTGTAGACACAGCCCTAGTGTGGTTCACTGTCCTATGTAGTGTGGCATCTTGATCACAGCAACAGATAAGACCAAGAGACCTCTACAGCATGGGCTGAGAGCCAGTTGGCTTTTAGCTCAGAGAGTAGAGGCTCCTCTACTAAGCCTCACAGATCCCAAGTTCAAATCCACCTGTTATGTTAGGTGGGCATTTCTACCTTTCTAGGGACAAAGGAAGAATGGTTAATGAGCAGCAACAAAGCCAGGTCAGGTGTGAAGTCAAAGGCTAGGTAGCTTCAGACCCATCTAAAAATTCCACTTTCCAAAGATAGTTTGTCTAGAGATGGTTTCCCTGAAGGTTAGAATTGTTAATATAGGGCTATAGGTGATCTTGGCACAAATAAGCGAGGTGTCTCCTTCAAGAAATTTACAGCAAATGTCTGTCTTTAGCTATAATTGATTGCTTGGCAGCCTCTTATATAATCAAATGTGAATACATCAGAAATGCCTCATTAACTGAAATAGAATGGCTGAGATTCTCTATTAACTATTTACAAGTAAAATTAATTCTTAGACATAATGCTCTTTGTCAGTACACTAAAGTAATCAATAGTATTCCCATTCAACCTTTAATTTCTAAAAAAAAATCTGAGATTATGTTTAGCTCATTGCTTTGATCCAACAGCGAAGAGTCAGCACTAAATGTAGATAATAATGGAAATTGGAGTGAGAATTTAAAAGCTGTAAGTTGTTTAAAACCACATTCCTTTGAAGTGTGATTTTATCAGATCTCACAAGCTTAGGCTGGGCCAGTAATGGGCCAGGAGGCCTCCAAGCAAAATCTCCATGTAGTGAAAAAAAGAGTGATTGTAATATTAATTGTGGTTAAGTACTGAACCAGTGTCTCACCAAGTTACAACAGAGCAGTATGGTACTGAAAGTGCCTGGCTGTGGACATGCTCCTTGCCCTATTCCTATCCTAATCAGTAATTTAAACTCTGCACATATACCATTAGGCATGTCTACAGTACATGGAAAATCAATGCTGCCCAAATTGATCTTCCCACTACATAGAACTCAGAGGGTGTCCCCTTTGTTTCCTGTCTTTTAATCAGTTATCAATCCACAAACGGACCTTCCCTCTTATCTCATGACAACTTACTTTACTTAAGAGCCTTTGGTGAGGGACCTTGTCAAAGGCTTTCTGGAAATCTAAGTATTCTATATCCACTGGATCCCCTTTGTCCACATATTGGTTGACTCCCTCAAAGTACTCTAGCAAATTAGTAAGGCATGATTTCCCTTTACAGAAACCATGTTGACTTTCTCCCAACAAATTATATTCATCTCTGTGTCTTTATATTTTATATTCTTTACTATGGTTTCAACTAATTTCCCCGGTACTGATGTTAGACTTTCCTCCATACATACCCCTCCCTGTCCCATGTCACTACCCAAACTCTCTGCACCCCCTTCTCCCAGGTCACAACTCCCTCCCAGACCCTGCACTCCCTCCTACACACCTCCCCTAAGCCAGAATCCTTTCCTGAACCCATAACCCCTCTTGGACCCTGCTCACCAAGCCCCTGCCCCAGATCATACCCCCCTCCTTCACGGAAACTCCCTCCTGCACCCCAGTCCTCTATCCCAAACTCCCTTCTACATGCCACCCGCTGTGCCAGACCCTGCACCCTCTCCACTGAAGTGCGGCCCTTAACCACTTACCAAAATCTTGGAGTGGCCCCCCCATTAAAAATTATTGCCCACCCGTCTTAGCATTAGTGACACTGATCTAGTTCACTAAACCAATTCAAAAAAGGAGCAGACAAAGCCTTACTATTAAAATTTGATTTGTCCTTTTCATATGTGTTCATTTTTTTTAATTGTATCCTTTGGTATATATGGTTGTGACAATATTCTTCCACTATTTGATCTGAGGAAGTGGGTCTGGCCCACGAAAGCTCATCACCTAATAAACCATCTTATTAGTCTTTAAAGTGCTACATAGTCCTGTTTTTTGTTTCAGCTACACCAGACTAACACGGCTACATTTCTATCACTATTAAAATTGTAGTTTTATATTGTTTGCAGCATTTCATAGCAAGTCAATATACTTTTGATAAAAAACAACATGTTCATAAAAAAAGCCAGTAGCATTCAATATAAACATGTTTCTCTAACATGGACAAATATAGAGCTGCCAAGATGGCATAAGTTATACTTTTTTTAAAGCAGTAAGACATACAGTAGCATTAGAAGTGACATCAAGGTAATAAGGGCTTTGGTAAACATAACAGCATAATACTCTGCAACTGCAAACTATAACACCATACAAAGCTCTTGGACTGGAAAAACAAGCAAATCTCGTTTTGCTCTTTTTTGTTTTGTTTTGTTGGAAATCCAAGCATCATACTGCTGCTGGAAGCAGCAGCAAATACAGCCTGTCAGGGTTTACTCTGAGTCATCTCTCTTATCGTACTTTTTATTGAAAACAAAAGAACTTTCTTCATGGCTAAATCCTGTGCATGTGGGTACAGCAGAAAGCCAGACTATAGGAGCTGTATTTTAAACCTTCATCACAGTCCCAAATCAAACTCTTTCATTGTTTGTCCAGGGTGGGGAACCGTTTTTGCGTTTGGGGTAGGGATGTTAAATGTAGATTAATTAATTAATCAAATTGTTGATGGGATTTCCATCGACTATTTGATGAGTCTATAAGGACGCCTCTATCTTTGAACTGTAGCAAGAACCCTACCGGGTTCTTGCTACAGTTCAAAAGCGGAAGCCCTGCAGGGAGCGGGGGGGCTTCCTTTTGAAATGTAGAAGAGACCCATTAGGGGTCTTGTACATTTCAAAGGCTGAGGCTCTGCAGAGACCACTGGGGAGTCCCTGCTGGCCCTGTGCTCCCTGCAGCGCTTCAGCCTTTGAAATGTACAAGAGCCCCAGTGGGTATCTTGTATATTTTAAAAGGAAGCCCTGCAGGGAGGGTGGGACAAGTGGGGGTCCCCTCTGGCCCTGCACTCCATGTGGTGCCTCAGCCTTTGAAATGTACAAGAGCCCCAGCGGGACTCTTGTATATTTCAACAACAGAACCAAGTGCAGGGCCAGGGGACTCCCTCACTGGCCCCGTGCTCCCTGCAGGGCCTCAGCCTTTGAAATGTACAGAATTGCAGCAGAAGTGGTGCAAACAAAGACTGCTTCAGTTCCCGCTCGCACTGTTTCCGCTATGCCTCTACCTCCTCTGCCCCCTACGGAGACGGTGCCAGGGGGAACCGGCTTTTAACGTGGCTTCCCCCTGCACTGGCTCCTGCTCCCCCCCTTT